ACAACATCTTTGTTGGTATGTGGTGCTGAGGATCGAACCTGGGCCGCACGCATGCCAGGCGAGCGTGCTACCGCTTGAGCCACATCCCCAGCCCTTGTTTGTATTCTTGATGGCTGTTATTCTAAATATTGTAAGATGAAATTTCAGTATAAATTTTTTCCTACATTTTTATTGGTGCATTATAGTTATACATATTGATGGGATTTCTTGTTACATATTTGTATGTGCATACAATATAACAATATAATTTGGCCAGTATCACTCCCCAGCACTTCCTTGCTCCCTCTACAACCCCCACCACTTGGTCCCTTTCCTCTACCAATCTCCCTTTGATTTTTATGAGTTCCTCTCCACCTTTCTTTTCCTTTGTCCTCTCTATCTTCCACATATGAGAGAAAACATATAGCCCTTAAGCATCCAAGTTTTACTTATTTTTCGTAACATGATGGTCTCTAGTTCCATCCATTTTCCTGCAAATGACATAATTTTATTTTTATTTATGGCTGAATAAAACTCCATTGTGTATATATACCACATTTTCTTTATCCATTTATTTCTTCATGAAAACCTAGGCTGGTTCCATAGTTTGGTTATTGTGAATTGTGCTGCTAGAAACATGGGTATGTATGTATCACTGTAGTATGGTGGCTTTAATTCTTCAAGATAAATACCGAGGAGGGGTATAGCTGGATCACAGGGTGGTTCCATGTCTACTCTTTTGAGGAAACTTTATACTGATTTCCATAGTGGTTGTACTAATTTACAGTCCTAGCAACAGTGTAAAAGTGTTCATTTTACTCCATATTGTCTCAGCATTTACTATCATTTGTGATCCCGATGATTGTTATTCTGGGTGGTTGTCAGATGAAATCACACTGTAGTTTGAATTTGCATTTGCCTAATTACAAATTATGTCAAATATATATATATATATATATATATATATATACATACATATTTATGTATATCTATCCATTTGCATTTCTTCTTTTGAGAAGTGTCTTTTTAGTTCATTTGCTCATTTATTAATTGGTATTTTATTAATTATTTTCATTTACCATTAATGATTATTATTAATTTTATTAATTATTAATTTATAAATTAATTTTTAGGTGCTTTTAAAATTTCTTTGAACATTCTAGATATTAATTCCCTGTCAGAAGAGTAGCTAGCAAAGATTTTCTTCTATTCTGTTGGTTCTGTTTTTACATATTTAATGATTTCCTTTGCTGTACAAAGGCTATCTAATCTGATGCCATCCCATTTATTAACTCTTAACATTATTTTCTGAGCTTTTGGAGAAAATTGATGCCCATGCATATGTTGCTCCTAGGTTTTCTTTATAATTTTTGGTATAATTCCTAGGTCTTTGATCCATTTTGATTTGACTTTGTGCAGGGTGAGAAGTAAGGATTTAGTTTTTTTTTTTTGTTTTTTTTTTTTTTTTACATACAGATAAGCAATTTTTCCAGCACCATTTGTTAAAATGATTGTGTTTTCTGAAATGCATGTTTTCGGTACCTTTGTTAAGGATCAGATGGCTGTAGATGCATGGGTTTGTCTCTGTGTTTTTCATTCTGTGCCAGTGGTCCATGTGTTTGTTTCTATGCCAGTATCATGCAGATTCTATTGCTATAGCTCTGAGGCATAGTTTGAAATCAGGAATTGTGATGCCTCCAACATTGCTTTTTTGGCTTAGAATTTATTTGGCTATTCTGGGTCTTTATTCTTCCAAATGAATTTTAGAGCTTCTTTTCTATTTCTGTGAAGAATGCCATTGATATTTTGATGGGCATTACATTGACTCTATATATTGCTTTTGGCAGTATGATTATTTTAACAATACTGATTCTGCATATTCATGGACGTAGGAGGTCCTTCCATCTCCTTATATCTTTTTCAATTTATTTCTTCAGTGTTCTATAGTTTTCATTGTAGAGGTCTTTCACCTCCTTGGTTACATTTATTCTCAGGTATTTTTTGAGGCTGCTTAGAATGGGACTTTTAATTTCTTTTTCAGGGGCTATATTATTGGTATACAGGAAAGCAATTGATTTTTTTTACTTATTGATTTTGAAATTGCTACTTTGCTGAAATGGTTTATTTCCCCTAGAAGTCTCCAGGTTGAACTTTTGGGATCTTCTAATTGTAGAATTACATCATCTTCAAACAGTGACCATTTGGCTGATTCCTTTTCCATTTTTATCCCTTTTATTTCCTTCTCTTGCCTAAGTGTTCTGGCTAGAATTTCTATTACTATGTTGAATAGGAATGGTGAGAGTGGCATTCTTGTGTTGTTCCAGATTTTAAAAGAAATGCTTTTAGTTTTTCCCTATTCGCTATGATATTGATTTTAGGTTTGTCATATGTAGGTTTTCAAATGTTTAGTTAGGTTCCTTCTATCCCTAGTTTCTTGACAGTTTTTATTATGTTTGAGTACTGCAGTTTTTGAAGGCTTTATCTACATCTATTGAAATGGATATGTGAATTTTTTCCTTGATTCTCTTTATGTCATGAAATATGTTTATTGTTTTATATATGATAAACCTTTCTTGCATCCTTGATATAAAACCAACTTGGTCATGATATACAATCTTCTAAATATATCATGTACTGTGATTTCATAACATTTTATCAAGAATTTTTATATCTAAGTTTCTGGTCCTTAGTGTTTTTTCTTTTATATGTCCTCATCTAGTTTTGGCATGAGGATGATACTGGCATCATAGAATGGATTTGGAAGTGTTGCATGTCTTTCTATTTCATGGAGTCATTTGAAGAGCATTAGTATTAGTTCTCCTTTAAAGATGTGGTAGAATTCAGCTGACATTCCCTTTTGTCCTGGTCTTTTCTTTTTTGGAAAGCTTTTTATTATTGCTTTTAACACTTTGGAAGTTTTTGGTCTGTTATGCTTTCT